CCTGCCCTGTAGTGTGGCCGAGCTCCTCTCCGGTCCACGACCCGGCCGGACTGACAGGAAGTGCACACTGAGTGTCAGTCCTCTACAGAGCGCTCAGACGGCTGCAGCATTTAAAGGGCCGGCGATGGGGCGCAGGGCGCTCCCTCCTATACGGCGTCCTAGGCGGCTGCCTAGTTCGCCTTATAGGAAGCGCCGGCCCTGTGCAGAGCACATGTACGAGAACATAAAGGTGTATTAGAGTCAACTTCTTTATGTTCATGGGGATGAGGAATACATAAATACATCATAGGACAGAAATTAGCAACACTAATGACTGTATGTCATTCTTCCTTAAATGTCATATACTATCTCAAAACTCAGCAAAACCATGTTTTGATTAATACAAACACATAAGTAAAATTAGGGTTAGTGTTTCTTTAAGTATTCCAAAGGTTAAAACAGTAATGGCGTTTTTAGAACCGTCTAGACTTTATCTTCCATTTCTTCTTATGACTAATTGAAAGCCTATGCGGCGCTCTGACAAAGCCAGAGCTTATATCTGATGTTCGAAAGGCTATAATTGTTATTCTATGTAGCATATTTGTCTACAGCTCATCTATCAATATGTGTATTTTTCTTACATATTCAGATGCACGCTGAAAAATATACCAGGGCTCCTACAAAATTAATGTTATTCCATTCAATAAGGTTGCCAGACTTTCATAACAGCAAACCTTTCAACTCTGAACATGCTGCAATTATTACAATTACAGTGTGCTTTACATATATATTTAGAAACATCTTCCACTCTTCTTTTCAACAGCTTGGAACATCTATATTGCAGGAGTGAGAGACATGATTAACACTAGATGTAATAAAACCTTCATGATGGAAAAATGTTTCACATAGAACTACCAATCGTTTTCTATGAGGACAGAACACATTTGATGCTTTTTTTATTCCAGGGAGCCAAACATTGAACAGGGGTATATACATATATTTCATTAAAAGGAAATAAAAATATCCAATTATCTCATGCATGATCTTGTGTATTTATGTTGGTTTGCTCAATGCAACAATTTGCAAATAGAACAGTGTGTACACTTCCATGCTCTCCTATCATGCTATGCCCTACAGACTATTTTGTTTCAGTAGCTAGGAATTTCCTTATCTTGGTTCTGACCATTGATTGTCTCTGGATAATACTTTTCTGTTTGCGACCTGCTTGAACCCTGATATCTTGATCTTTATTTGTCTCCTGGCTTTCATTGATTACTGTAACTTGTGTCATTAATTGTGCCACACCTGACAAAAAAACTAAACAAAATAAACCATTTAGCATTAAAGTGAGAATTGTGAATTCAAAATGAATTTTAAATTTAAGCCTAAGGTAGCTGAACTGGGAAACATTTGCCCAAGTCAGCTAGGTTTCCAGTTTAGCTATGTTGGCCTTAAATGTGAAATTTTACTTGACATTGTCTCTGAGTCTCCTGGTAATACTGAATAACATAATAAGGTATCAATAGGTGGCTCTGCAAAGCCAGGAGAGTTGGTGATTAACGGTGGCCCAAATTTGCATCCCATTTCTCATGCAACATTTGTGCTCGAACCTGCTGAGGCCCATGTCATTGTGAAGTACACAACTCCATCATGCACATTGAGAGGAATCTGGTCCACCAAGCATGGAAAAGCAAAACCTGTATAGCAACCTTTGTTCTTCTGTAACAGGTGTTCATGCTTGGGACAATGAAATTTGTCAGTAAACAAAATTGTCTCATTTAATTAGCAAGAAGCTAGAGATCTGCCAAATTAAACAACTAACAAAGGTGACATAAATTACTGATAAAAATTGTTTCATTAAGTCTGCTGACATCAAGTTTTAATTTGATATTACAGAGTTAGGATGTAGTAGACCTTCAAATAAGCATACCCATATGTCATTAGATTCATATTGGAAATTTGCTCGTATGACATCCCAAGTTGGGAGGGTATGCATTAGGTTCCAGGAAAGCATAATTTGTTTGTCAAACTACTTAGAAACGGGGAGACTGCAACCAGTATCATTTGGTGTTTAACTTGTAAATCTTTTCATCTGCCCTAGTCTTTTCAATGTTCTATGTATGTGATGCAAATCATTGTAAATTGTGGCTCTGTTCTTTATTACACTATTTGAAAATAGCAGTTTGTACCATAGGTGATATTATGAGCTCAATTTGTTTTGACATTTCCATATTGCAGACAAGTTACAATTTAATTTTTAGAGGTAATTAACTATGCCCAGAAAACACTGGAGCCCATTCATGTCTGATATTGAAGGCACTCTCTGAATTGCTATGACTTTCCTCGTTCCACATTAAAGGAACACTACCTGCGTTAAGCCTATTAGTGCAGAGCTTAGTTCATTAGCTGAGAGTAATCAGCTGACCTTCTAAGCCAATGATCTAGCCTCCTATGCTCTACACTCCTATTCTCCTGAATCTGGCACTCTGACAGTTGTAGTAGAGCAGGGCCGGTGCTAGGATTTTTGACTACACAGGCGAAGATGCATTTTGACGCCCCCCCCCCAAAAAAATAAATAAACAATGCATCTTCACCTCTGTGTCTCGTAGCCCCCTTTTGAATTTCTTACCCCCATTAGTGTTGCATATCCACTCTCTTGAATGTCTTACCCCTTTGGCCCCTTTGTGCCTTACACCCCCCTTTAGTGTGTCTCCTACAACCCCTCTTATGTATTTCTTACTTCCCCGCCAGCCCCTATCTATCTCTCTTTTTCTCCCACATAGACATAGATACAGGCTAAAATACATACATGCACAAATACACAAACATACAGACACACAACCATACAAGCACACAGACATAATTTTTCAGGCACACAGTCACAAAGATATACAGACACACAGTCATAAAAGGCACACAAACAAACACAGTCATACAATCTACACATACAGGTACATTGTCGTACAAACACAGACATACATTCATACAGACACAGGCATTCACAGAAATACATACACAGACATAAAGAAACAGAGATAGGCATACAGAGACATACATACACAGACAAACAAAGAACCCTGCACACTGACACCGTGTAAATGCTCCGGCCATCAACAGAGGTGGATGCTCCATGTCAGGCAGACATTGCTGGATCCACCAGTAAAGTCTTCAAAAGGAATAAACACAGGCAACACTCCAATAGTAAGGATGGTATATTTATTGGTAGGTGAACCACCCCATAGAAAGTGTGATGTTTCAGCTCATGCAATAAGGCTCTGCTGAGCCGAAACGACGCACTTTATACCATCCTTACTATTGGAGTGTTGCCTGCGTTTATTCCTTTTGAATACATTTACACAGTCATACAGAGACATACATACTGTATGTCTCTGTATGACGGTCTGTGTATGTACACAGGATGGCTAAAAGATAGATCCCCATCTGTCGTGCAACTTCAACAATGCTTTGAAAGCTGGGGCTCTACCGATTCCCCATTCTTGCAGGATTGTATTTAGCATGGAGCAGTATTTGTGTGTTTGACTGTAAGCATGTGTTTGTATGGAGTATGTTTGTATGATTGTAGCGGTGTGTTTGTATGTAGTGTTTGCATTTGAATGCAAGCATGCATTTATGTGTAGTGTTGGTTTTTGAACGCAGGTGTGTGTTTATATATAATTTTGGTGTCTGATACAGAGGTGTGTTTGTATGTAGTGTTGACATTTGAATGCTGGGGTGTGTTTGTATGTAGTGTTGACGTTTGCATGTAGGTGTTTATTTGTGTGTAGTGTTGTGTTTGAATGCTGAGATATATGCACATATACACATACACTGCCACACACGCACACACTGTGATACACATACACAAAGATACACACACTGACACATGCAGATATACATATACACAAACTGATACACATTCAGATAGACACACAGGTACACACAAACACTGACAGACATACAGATAAACACACAGTGACATACAGACACACATACACAATGATAGGGAAGAAGACACACAAAGACACACTAACAGACAGACACACACACTAACAGACATTTAGATACACACAGACACATGGACAGAGACATATACATACACACACTGACAGACATGGATGCACACACACACACTGACAGACATAGATACACACACACACACACTGACAGACATACACACACACACACTGACAGAGATAGATACACACACACACTGACAGACATACACACACACACACTGACAGACATAGATACACACACACACACTGACAGACATACACACACACACACTGACAGACATAGATACACAGACACACTGACAGACATACACACACACACACACACTGACAGACATATATACACACACTGACAGACATATACACACAGACACACTGACAGACATATACACACACACTGACAGACATATACACACACAGACACACTGACAGACATACACACACACACACACTGACAGACATACACACACACAGACACACTGACAGACATACACACACACACACTGACAGACATACACACACACACAGACATAGATACACAGACACTGACAGACATATACACACACACACACAGACTACACACACACTGACAGACATACACACACACACCGACAGACATACACACACACACACACACTGACAGACATACACACACACACACACACTGACAGACATACACACACACACACACTGACAGACATAGATACACACAGACACACTGACCAACAGGTTCAGAAGGGGGGCTTACCTGGGATCCAAAGTGCTGCCTAAGGTAGTTGGGAGTTGGAGGAGCTGGTCCTGCCCAGCCCCCCTCCTCTCTGCCTTCTGCTGCTCTAGTCTTCTTGGGAGGACTTCCTCCCATGCTGAATAGAAGGGGGCCCGTAGCTCCGCACCTGCTGGGCACCAGCCGCGCTGTGTGCTTCAGTGGGAGCAGGGATATGACGTTCATATCCCCGCCCCCTCCACACAGTCCGCGGCAATGCAGGTTGGCGCTCGGCCACGCTACAAGAAGTGACCGGCAGGAGAGGGGAGCTGTGCGCTTCTCTCCTGCCGGCCACCCGGACATTTGCGCCCCCGGGCCGGTGCGCCCTAAGGCGGCCGCCTGTGCCGCCTTATGGACGCGCCGGCCCTGTAGTAGAGGCAGGGAGAATTGACTGAAGTTAAACCGTTATGAAATGACGTGACTACATTCAATGACGAGCATGCTGTAATAGTTATGGTGCTTGGTTTGTTCCATAAACATTATGTAGCATTAGTAGATTTCAAAGGTATGCTCAACATCAATAGAAAAATTTTATCATTTTTTGAACATGGTCCTTTATAGCAGAAACCATATTCTTATCTTATCTGATCACAAGGATAACATCTGCTCTTGTTTTGATTCCTGGCAGTCCCTATAGAGCTTGATTTAATTTCTTCTGCGAACACCTCAGTACCTGGACTAACTCCAATGGATATTTGTATTATTCAAGTAGCCAAATTTCTCATAAAATCAATTTTTTATATGCTGAACATATTTTGCCTTTGAAAAACATGGTAAAATATCAATAATTGTAGGTAGAAGATAATGTGTTTCTTTGTTAAAATATTCTTAGCTAGTTATACAAAATACAAAAGTTTTCCTTCACTCCACTTCCAGCTCTTGTGAAATCTGGAACTAAATGTAGTATGACTCTTGAATACTTATCTTTTATCTACCCAGGGGACTCTGCAATGTTTGTCAATCCTTAAAGGTTGAAAAGTTGTTGTCCCCTCCTTTGAATGGGATAAAATTATCACTTTGAAAGATTGGTGTTTTGGAGTAACGGATTGATAACATTTTGTGACTTTCAACCTGTATCAAATGACAATTATCAGATAGATCATAATTCAAATTCCAGCAACCCTTTTACTGCTAGTAATAGAATCAAAGTCAGAAATGTATATTGTTTTAAAAATAGATCTAACTAGAGTTTTTTTTTGTGACTCATAACTGTTAATCTGACATTGTTAAGCGCAATTGGTATTACAAGATGAATGGTTAAAAATGTGGTGCTTTTGCAGTACTTTCCATTACATCACAAGATGAAGATAATGGTGAGTTAGTCTGATTTGATGGCATCATGACCATCCTGGGATCTAATGAGAGCACTATAAAATCAGCACCCACTGGAAGCCATCTTAGATGTGTACTTGTCAGTAACTAGGTCCAAAGCCAATAAATATTTTATGTGAGATTGAAATTTACCTACATGTTTAGATGACTTTTGTCATAGAGATTGCAGTAGCCAAGACATGGATGCAAAACAAGATTATCTGATCACACGTATCTAAAAGACTTTTGACTTTTTGGATCCTGGCGGCCATAATTAATTGACTGATGTTAAATTGGGAGAACAATAAATCCACACCACTTTCAAACCCTTCCCCAGAGCAAAATTTCTCCTTGTATGTTACAGCTACCTCATCTTGTTCCTTCGACTACTTATTAAAAAGTGTACAAAGTCAGCCAACACTCATGGAAGGTGAGTAGTTCAGTAGTTAATAGCCAGAGCCTTTTCAAAAAGTCACCTTGGGGATTATACTGTTCCATCTGTGTCAGAGAACATGCATTCGCGGAATTTTGGCAGTGTATGGAATTAGAACATTTGACAAAAAAGGGACCTTGTAATTTTACAGTCTATTTCAAATTTATAAAATATTACAATAGATAAAGCATTCTTCCTTCCGGCATTTTGCATCTTTTTTTTTGTATGATTTGTATTTCAGATTCTATTCAAATGTTCTATTGTTAATTAAACTTTATACAATAGTCCTTGGTTTGAGAAGCATTTTAAACATGCTGTTATATTTACAATTGTTTTGCATATTACTGCATAGCACTGTGTACTTTTCCCTTTCATAATTCATGTTTGATTAAAACAGAATTCTGTATAAAATAAACATGCAAAAACAAAACCACATCTTCTGCTTTCATCCAAACTATTGTGGATTAAGTAACATCTTGATGCGCATTTAAGTCCCCAATGGTCCCAAAGTATCACAATCACTTTGGGTCCTCACCTTATTTTAATAGATCAAATAGATCTATTTTGTATTCTTTAATAATCTCGTCGGAGTAGAATTTGTTATGGTGCTGTCTTTCAGGTTAATTCTTCAGTAGGTATCACTTGTACAGACATACAATAAAAGGTATCTGTACATCAGCAACATTTTCACAGTGAAAATATACCGGCACAGACACCGTGAAACCATATTGTTATAAGATTAGACAACAAGAAAGTAAAATGGTGGTAGAAGTTGTGGTGTAAACAATACCAGGCAACTAAGAAACAGTCAATATATTCTATCACTCCAAGACTTGTTATTCCCAGATAGTGAAAGTCCAAATGAGTAGTGAAAAGTAGAGTCAAATACTGTGATAGTTACTAGATAGAAGTCCAAACAATTTATAAATTAATGAAGACTTATGGAACTGCTTAGGAGCAGATAGCATGAACATGTCTTCAATGTCCATTTTGGGCTCACTTATTGTGTTTGCTAAATAGTCTGTTTTTTCCGTTGCTACATTTGTTATGCCTCATACAATAAAAAGTACATGAAGATTGTGAGCCGGGTCAGTTTAGTTTAAAAGCCTGTCAACACTGCCACATTTTTTCATATTATATGCTATAGTCCATATTAGTCAATGATAATTTATGAAAATGAAAATGGTTTTAGATTAGTTTGTTTGCAGTATTATTCATCTTTACATTTGTGTGTATGGGCTTGCTGTTTTGACATATATATGTTTGCATGTTGTATTTTGTGTTTCCATGTCTTCGGTATTTGAATCTTTGTACTTTTTGTTTTTGCTTTTTATTTTATTACTTAATGTCTTTATCTGTGGTGTATGTTACAACATTTAGGTGATTTCTCTCCTCTCCACTTGTGGGGTGGTGTCTTGTGATATGGGATCTCAGTATCTTCTATTGTTTTAGCAATACATATTTTTGCCAGGTGTTGGGACTTTTTTTAATTTACCACGCTATAAGAGGATAGGAAATGTATTGATCTTGGTGAAATTGATACAGTGTCTTGAGAAACACATTGGTTTCCAGATCTTTGTTGAGAGTGGGATCATTCACTGTATATCGAGTATGAATTCTACTTAACAAATAATGCGGATTAAGGGTATATTTAAGGAATGAGCAGGAATTTATTTGTTATCCTAATATTATGGCCCCTCTCCTATTTGTGGATCTTCCTTGCCCCCACAGTCACTGCTGTTGTCCCTCAGCCTTTTGGAACTTCACATTTT